GTGTATAAAATGGCTACGTAGATAAGGACAACAAGGCCAGACATCAACAATCTCCTCCCTCGTCTCTAGTGTGCAAAGTTTACTTCGACTCAACCTTTGATCCCAGTCATGTTAGAACATACAGTGAAGGACAAACAGGTTTACTTTCAACTAGCACAATGCGCAAACAGCAACGAGACACTTTCTTTTAACCCCGGGAGCTGAAAGCATCAACATAATAATTAACCTCTCAGAGAAGGAAGAACAAATCCTGTCAATATTGGTCAACAGATATAGTTCTGCTTTTTATCCTTCATGTCTTTAGACGTTCACAATTATAAAAGAAAGCTCATTCTTTCAAGGCTCTCTTGTTATGAAGAGGAAACAAACACACAAGTATGACAACTGCTGCTATCTAGTGGACAGCAGCCAAAACTGAAAGTACTCAGAGAAGGAGGAATGCTTTACTGGAACGTAGCAGCAGATTTATGAGTATGTGAAACTCGTCAAACTACGTCAACAAACAGAGACCGCCGTCAAACCAAATCATGTCAGATAACCACACACGCACGTCCAGACACAAAGGTAAAGCAGGTAAGCAAGGATGCACAGGATACATTTAAGGAAAACTATCATGAAGAGGAAGAGTTTGAGGCTCTCACCCTGAGTCGTACGCAGCCTCTTCTGGATCCTCGCATCATCTTGTCTTTTGACTGTGAATCAATAAAACAGAGAGTCAGGGATCAAAACATTTAAAGCATGAGAACATGACGTGCATTTAAATGCTGCACATTTTTACATGTTTATGTTCGGAAATTTCAATAATTCCAACAACTTTCAAAAGTCCAGAAGTTCCAAAAGTCTTATTATAAGAAAATAGAGACGATTTCTCCTAAAATAATAAAAGTAAATGGCAGAAAATGTGACTGATGTCGTGGCTTAATAATTCATGTTAACCATATTTTTAGAGTTACTTTAAGTTTCTTACTTTTTGTTGAAATGAATAACGCTCAGAATAAATTTGGACATGAGCATAACAGGGATGCAAATACAGGCAGAAGTAGAGGTGTCTGTAGCTCAGGAGGGAGTGCAGGTCATTTACTAATTGATCTGACTGCTCCAGTCTGCGTGCCAAACACCCTCGGGCAAGACACTAACCCCGAGTTGCTCTCCAATATATCCATCAGAGCATAAATCTGTGTGAATGTTAGACAGAAAGCACTGCAGTAGAAAAAGCAGAGAAACAAATCGTGTGCTTGTGAATGAGGCATGTTGCAAAAAGTGCTCAGGTTGAGTATAAAAGCGCTAAATCAAAGCCAGTACACACACATCCTGCGCATGAATGTCAAATACATACATACACTCTCTGATCTTGGAATAAGTTGGGCTGAAGGTTCTACAGTGTGTCTGATAAATCCTGATAACTTGTCCTGAGTGATCACGATACACTAAACTGGAGATTTCTCTGCCAGGATAAAAAATATATTTTTTTGACACTCACTGGATGAACCAACATTCAGAACAATGGCAAAGTCTGAGAAACTCAATGAAGACCTAAGACGAAAGCTCTGGAAATCACTTGAGCCATTTGTAGACAACTGCAGATTCCAAGATCATCATTTTAAAAAACTATATAAATACAAATCATTCTGTTCTGTCAGCACTTCACTAACGTACAGAAGAAGACCCTGTCACCCTCAGATGAGTGACGCTTGCTCAGGATGTTCAAGAACCATGAAGATTCAAGCCATGAAGTGTAAAAGCGCTGACCAAGAAGTCGACACCTTCAAGATCAACTGAAATTGTCAGTGGCCCACATGGACAAACCAAATGGAAGAAAAAGAAAAAGAATTGAGCTGTTTGGATGCAATGGTCATTATTTTTGCCACTATTACAGATTTATTTTTGTAGGACTAAAGGTCAAGCTTTCAAACCTAAGAACATGTCTGTAAAGGTTCTCAGTCATCCAGGTCATCGTAGTCAAAGGAGCTTGCAAAGAAAAGCGTCTGGACTTCTTTAAGTTACTTGAAGACGTTTCACCTCTTATGCGAGAAGCTTCTTCAGTTCTAAGGTCAAATGGTGGAGAGTCCCAGATATAAACCTAGTGGGAGTTTCCCCCCACAGAGGGACAAAAGGACCCCCTAATGATCCTCTAATCGCCTGAGCCAAGGTGTGAAACTGGGTGTGGGTCCCAATCAGCCAGAGTTTCGGGTGAGTTCATTGTGAAACCTGGCCCCACCTTATCATGCGAATTCCTGAGGTCAGATGGCCCAGGATGTGAGTGGGCGTTAAGGCGTCTGGGAAGGGAACTCAAAACTGGATTATAGATGGCAGACAGTTGGTGTCGTAAACCACCGCCTCTGTTCAAAGATGGTTGCTCACAGTGGACATAGATGGCTTCTTTCACTCCTCTTTCAAACCATCTGTCTTCTCTGTCCAAAATGTGAACATTGGCATCCTCGAAAGAGTGACCTTTGACCTTAACATAAAGGACAGAACCTAAGAATACTGTACCAACTGTCAAGCATGGTGGTGGTAACCCCAATATGTATTCAAATTCTGAGTTAAAAAATATCCAGCCACAATTATGCCAGAAGCTTATTGATGGTTACCAAAAGTGTCTGGTCAAGGTGCAACTCACCAAGAAACATCTAACCAAATAATAGTCGTGTTGTATGTATATATTCGAGCTGCTATGTGTATTTTTGGCCCAGTGTGGATTAGAAAAACCTAGATAAGTTCAAAGTTCTTGTATTTTAAAGTTCTTAAAGAAATAAGTTGTGTGTAAACTCCTGATCACAACTGTAGCGGATATATTGGACAGAGAGTCAACAAACTGATAAAAGACCCACAAGACATAACACACATGCCATCAATACAATGTTGGACCGCCAATCAGGATTATTTGAGATCCTGTTGGCAGATTTCTTCTCGCACCTCCTCCTATCATGGTGACGACTATAATTCAGAACACTAACTGCAGTCACGGTTAACTGACAGCTCAGGTTACTGTGTCAATCGCTCTCCATGGAAACAAGTACATTGATTTCTTTTTTACTTTGTCAGAGGAATGGACGCCACTTGCTCTTCCCTACAGCTTGTTTCACCGATTGTAACTTTTGCCTGGTTTACAGTCCACATTATATACTGCTCACACACCCGGTGAGGTTAACTAACCAGCAGCCACTCTCTACCTTTGCGGTGTAGCTTTATGGCTTTAAAGAAACTAGTGAACGCTGTTCGCTTGGTTAGCTATCAGAACAAAGGTCGCCTCTCACGCATGCACACACATTTCTCTCTTCATTTCCCCTGACAGTTTAAACTACCCATAAGTATCTCTACACGAATACTGTGGGTTTTTTTAGCGTGTAGCTGTGCTAGCTAGCCGCAATTGCGGAAGCATGGGCAAAAAATGCTATCACCCGATTGGTCAGTTAGCATTCGAAAGCCTCTGCTATTGGCCAACGTACGCATCCGTCACCAACAGAGACTCGCCTCGCTTTGCCAGCTGAGACTCCCAACTCCTGACAAACACAAGGCCCTTCTCCCACTTCTGCTGACGACCAGCCACAACTTCCACACTCTAACCTCCTGAGCAAGACATGCTGACAATCACAGCCGAGATGAACGTACCGTGTAGTACGACAGCAGGCCGGCATTGTAGTCCAGAACAAACCAGCGATACTGCCAGCCTTTCATGACGTTGGTCCACTTGCTGAGCGGCCCCTCCATGATGGACGCCATCTTTACAACAGGCTCCGGGCGGGGAGGAGTCGGATATGGTGTGGGGTAGGCGTCATGGTATGAGGAAGATTATCGTTCTGATGATGATGACGATGATGACGCTCATCATATTCAGCATTCAGTGAAATATAGTAAGAATGCTCTGACACAAAACGACTAAAACTATAAATAAATAAATAATAATCCAAGTAAAAGTAGTTTCCAGTGATTTTGATAAGAATGTTGTTATTATATTATTGACTCTTACCTTTTTTTTAATTTCCACAAACGTGTGAATTACCGGAGTTCATTTTAAGTGTCTGCTATGCTGTCGTAGTTTCATCTATAATTTATTTTTTACAGAAAAAGTCAAATACACAACAGATGCTATGTTTGCTTTGACAGTGCTGACGGAGAAGAGTAGAGAGTGTTTCAGGACATATATGATGGTTGTATTACAACAGGGATTGGATCTGAGTCCCTTCTTGGTTGCCATGGTGATGGACGGGCCAGACCAGGGGCGCATCCAGAATTTTTTCATAGGGGTGGCCATATGGGGGCCACTTAAAATTAGGGGTGGGGGAAAAAATCGATACTGTGTAGTATGGTGATATTTTGTTTGCTAATAATGTATCGATACAGGGACAGCAGAAATTGATATTTTGTTACAAAAAGGTTTTTGTGCTCTGACTTCAGAGCATGTTGATCCTTTTTCTGAGCAAGAATCCTGACATTCCTTCA